CCTCCTCCGCGCGGGTACGACGACAGGGGCCCGCCGAGCAGGTATGGCGGCGGCGGCGGCGGCGATCGCGACAGGGGGGACCGCGACCGCAGCGGCGGCCCGCCGCGCGAGTTCGCGCCGCCGCGGGACTATGGGCCGCCGCGGGACCGGGGTGACAGGGGCAGGGAGCCCGACAGGTACGGCGGCAGCGGCGGCGGCGGCGACAGGGATAGGGAGAGGTATGGTAGCCGCGAGCGCGACAGGGACTACAAGCGGCCGCGGGAGCCCTCCCCAAGGTGCGTGGTTTCTGGGAGCGGGGCGCGGCTGGTTACGCGGCGCCGGCGCGGCCTTCCGGTGCAGGGCGTTTGGTACGGCTCTTGTCGCGGGCGCGGCGTTCTTGCTGAGCTGAGTGTCGCGACGGCGGCCGCAGGCGGCAGCCTTCACTAGGGGAGTGCGTCCGCCCCTGCTATCGTTCAGCCGGGTTGCATGCACTGACGCATGCATCCTCACAATTGTGAACGTTGCCCGGCCGCGCTCGCTCCCTTGGGTGTCTTGCGTGCGCTCCCTGACGCACATGTGTGTGCACGTGCGCCCTGCAGGCGGGATGATTACAAGCGGCGTCGAGACGACGAGGAGCGCCGCTACTGAGGGGTCGAGCTTTAATTCAGAGTGCACGGGGTATTGGGTGCCACCAGCCAAGACAAGGGGCGCCGGCTGCGCTGCCGTCGGGGCATTTTGCTCGCTTGCCGTGCATCTCGTTGCGCTGCGGGCGGTGTGTTGGTGCGCGTGCTTGCCCCCTCGTTTGTCGAGACCCGTTTGCATCTTGTCGACCGCGGCAGGTTGGTTAGGCTTGGGAACGCATGCAGTGGGTAACAGGTGAAGGTCAACATCCCCTCTGCATAAGCACATGGCTGGCAGTCTTCCAGGCAATGGTGCATTGCTGCAAGCAGCGGTAGCGCCGCAGCACGCAGCAACACAACAACAACAACAACAACAACAACAACAACAACAACAACAACAACAACAACAACAACAACAACAACAACAACAACAACAACAGCCAAAAACACTCAGCCGGGAGCGGCGGCGGCCCATCAGTCCCGCTTGCGCGGCCCCTCGGACAGAAGCGCTTTCGACAGCAGGGGCGCCCCGACGCCCCATGAAAACAGGAGCGCGGCTGCGCCGGCGTCCCCAAAGCCGAACCGCCGCTGAGCTGCGAACGTCGCCGCGAGCGTTGCGTGCGCAAGGACCCCGGAGAGCGCCACTGCGGCTGCCAACCCATGGGGGTGCCCGCTGAGGCGGTCCGCGGGGCGAGTCTGGAGGGCGCGCATCGCCAGCGCCTGCGGGTGGGGGGGAAGGGAGCGCAAGCCGACGCGGGGCCTCGTCAGGAGGGCAGCGTGGTCATGTGCAGGGATAGAGGTAGGCAGCTAGCATGTTGGCAACAGCAGCATGCGGCGCTGCCTGCGGCCTGCCTCGCCCCCCACTCCTCTCTTCACCATCAATGCTGTTGCTCTGCCGCAGCTGGTGGCGTGGCTCACCGTAAAAGGTACAAACAGGAGCAGTGCTGTCGCCAGGCCTGCATGGTATGCACCCCCCTGCTTCACCCAGAGCCCCAGGTGCACCAGGGCGTTGACTGCGATGGTGCCGAGCGCGGGCACCGCCGCGGCCGGCCCCAGCGCCGCGCCCAGCAGGCCCGGGACCCAGACGGCGCCCGCATTGACGGCAGGGCCGAGCACGAGCTTGGAGGGGCAGGAGGGGGCGCAGCCGACGGCAGACGTGAACAACCCGTAGAATTGGTAGGGGCGCCTTTGGAGATCAATACCCCATTCCTCAACCTGCGGGCAGGGGGTGGCCCGCAGCAGGTCAATCGGATGCTTATCAGTCCGAGGCGGCCGGCCTTGTTTGGAATCAATGCGTGGTGGCTTCGCCGTCCGGGCTCGAAAAGTGTGGTGCGACGCGAGTGGGCACGCAACAGCTGGCGTTCTTGTGAAACGGCATCTCAACCCAGATTGAGGCCGGAGGCAGGAGCGGCACAGGAGGGCACTGCGCGCAGATGAGCTGAGCGCATGCAGCATATGCATGCGCCCCGTGAACAGAGGCCCCTCACTTGGTGCAGGACGTACACAGGAACGACAGCCCACCCCACCGCCTGCACCGCGTCAATGCTGCTGCCCAACGCGCACAGCACGACCAGGATGCCAGCCCCCAGTCCGAGGCCCACGAAGGGCCAGAAGATCTCAAGCCACATCAGCAGTGCGTGGGGGGCGCTGGAGCTTAGGCTGCGGCCGGTTGGGATGGGGGCGGGCTGGGTCACTGCGGGTCGGCACCTCCACTTGTTGAGGCCGAGGCAGCCTCGTTCTCAGAGCTTGCGGCAGCATGCTCAGAAGGTGGTGGCAGACTAGCACGGCAGATGGGCGTCCCACTGGTGTCATGATGAGGGCAATCCCCCAGCGCAAAAAGCGAGGGACAAGATCCGCATGCTGTCAGTGCATCATTGCAGGCAAAGCGTAGACCGACGACTTGGGGCGAGGAAGCGCAAGCGCACGTATGCAGCACTGCTGCGCCGGCCACGGCGGTGTACATAGCAGCGAGGCCCTTCAACACGATGATGGGCTTAGCGTTCACCAGCCAAGCCGTCCCCATGTTGCGACGCTTCTGTAGATCGCAGAACACAAAAGATTTCAAGAGACAGGTGAAGATAACATCAAGCTGCAATGGCCTGATCGCGAGGCATATTTGTGAAGTTTAGCTAGACTTCCGGCGGTGTCGACCGAGCGTGCAATGGTGTGACCAAAGTACGGTGGTGACGCCATTGCAATGCCCAGCCAGCGGCAGGGGCCCTGGGCCCCTGGCCCAGCATCAAATGAGCCCCTTTTCTAGCAGGATGGGGCGCTCCCATTTGGACGTGAGGCGGGCATGCCAAGCCCACCAACATGCCAAGCAACTCACCAACCCTGCACGGCAAGTGGAGTATGGTGGGCGCCAGCTCCCCCCCCCCTTGGCCATATTTCACAGCCATCACGACCCAATGTGTGAGTACCGCCGCGCGATCATTCACGTGTGCACTCGACCCTCAGCTGGGCCCGTGCCGTTTCAAGCACCAGGCTGGCAAAATCGCCCCACGGGTATGGTTTATACGGGACGGTAGCGCGAACAAACCGCCCGGGGTGGCACGCTGCTACCGCCGCCCTGGGAGCACGCCGTACAGGCCGCACACAAGCTGATTGCGGCACACGGCGCTCAGGGCCCGTTGGCAACAGCCTCGCCGCCGCAGCTCATGCGGCCTGTCCGCATCCCTGCACTCCAGCGGCCCTGCAACTGCCAAACCAATCCGCCCTGCCGCGATGTCCCAAAGATAAATATGATGAAGTGAAAACAACCGGTTCTGCTTTTATTACATGGTATTTATGATTCGCTTGATCTGCATGTTATGTGCACCAACTGCCGCAGCGGGCCCCCACCACACAGGTGCAGGAGTGCGCAAGGGTGGGCGCTGTGCTGCCACGCGCGCCAGCGATGGCTGCGGGCACACTGGTTTGACTGAAACCTAGCTACAAGCAAGCAGGCATGCGCAGTCTGGGGGCCGAAACGCAAGGATGTTGGGACGCGAAAAGCGATTCAAGGGTGCATATAGATGTCCCTGATTGGCCTCGCACAGACCGCTGGAGAGCTTGGCAGCTCGAGCACCGAGAGCCGCAAAGGCGGCGCGTTAGGCGGGGCCCCATTGCACGCGTGGTGCGACTGCAGGGGCGCTGGTGCTCCTATGATGGGATGCAAGGGGGTGCCGATACCTGGCGAGTTCTGATCATAGGATACAGGCACGCTGACGAGGCCGCGCAAGGTACTCGCACCAGGGGAGAAGGCATGGCTTGTGTTTTGATTTGAGGTAGCAGATGTGACATCACATAACAAGGAACAGGTGCTTGAGAAGGTGCTAAAGGTTATTTGTGAGAAGGGATTCTTCAAAGGCACAAGGCCGGGAAGTCAGGCGGCGGCCACACGTGTGGGGCGTCCTCAAAGCCAGAGCCCTGTCATGCAGTGGCATGTGGTGTTCCCAGTAAGGGGGAAGCCCTGCCAAAGGGCGGAGGGCTGATCGCGCTGGCCCGAAGTAACAGGCAACATGGCTGAAAAACGGCTAGCCAAACGGGCTAGCGGCATATGAACAGAGCAGGGGGAATCCGGCTGTGGAAAGGAGGGCGGCGAGCCGGCAGGTTGCGCAGCTTTGACCAACGTAAAACTGGGGCCAAGCTGGGGCCCAATGGGCAATGGCGAGAAATGTCAGGATGCACTGCGGGTGCAAGGGCCGACCGCGTGATTGAGCTGGAAAGGAGGCCCCCAAACGCCAAGTGTGTGCGTGTGGTACAATTACGCAACCGGGCAGCAGCCTGGCAGCACACTTAGCGAGAGGGCCGACGGCGGGCCGACACAAGTGGCGACGGGGGCCGTCGTCATCGGCTGCCTGGCGCATCCCGGGGCGTCAGCGGTACATGCGGGGGCGTCGGCAGTGCGCGTCCCTGGAAGCTGGGCGACGGGGGGGGGGGGGGGGTCGCCCCCCCCC